TTATTTTATTGTTAACATTTGTCAAATTCTCAAACGTCAAAATACCAATTACCTTACTATGGCAATTTTGCTTCCTTGATATCGGCAGCAACTTATGGGCTCTTTCCCACAAAAGGGTTTTTATCCAAAATATTTACCCTCTAAATTTAATGGCGTGAAAATATATAGCCTAAAGCGTGACGTAAGTGTAGGGTTTTTTATTAAAAAAGAACTATTCAAAAATATGCTGTGATTGCTGACATCTTCGGCAACAAAGAAGTGTGTGTTTACGCTTTATTATAATAGTAAAGTATAGAAATATAGATAAATGGTTATGTAGTTTGATGGAACCACAAAATTTGTCTCACAAAATCTAACATATCTATTTAATATCAAAACAAATCATTACTCGGCGTGTTATATCTTTTCATATTAAGTTACTTTTTCTTTATACCACCTTCCCAGATGTTACCATTCAATTGACGTCTCAAAGAAATCGAGTCTTTCACAGTCTGCATCAATCTTTGCTCGATTCGCGATAAATAGTTAACTAATAGTTAGTTAATAAAAAACTTACCAAATTATCAAAAAGCGAAACCAATCAAGATGTTTTTGTAAACATTGCTCGCTAAGAAAATCTACTCTTTAACTAAATCTTTAATCTTAAAACAAAAAAGATCCCGGAGTGTCGCCGATAGCAGCAACTGAGACCGCGGTAACCACGTAGGCTGCGATCAAAATGCATTTACGGCGTTTGGGCGTTCGTTAACAGGCCGTCAATACGGCTCTCGGTCCACCCGCAATAAATTTCGTATTGAGCGGACACACAACAAAGCGCGTTTTGTCTTGCAAATGAAAACGCGCACATTTCGCGGCATTGTGCGCGGCTGTTTCGGCGCCCGCCATTATTAACGGCGAACATGAAAGACAAAAGGTTCGTCTGCAGCACTGAGGCTGGCCTAGATAGCGGATTATTGTACTAACACAATAGGAGCGTTAATTCCGCGAGTCCGCCATTATTTTGCTGTTTGCAACTTTATCGCATCAATCGATGATCGCGACCGGCTTTGTTTGCCACCGTCAGCGATTATCCGATATGTTCCTGAAATCACGCGTAATCAACTATATTGTTCCGGTTTCCGCTGCTGCTGTTCACAATGCTATATTTATGTACAAAAACATAGGTACTATGACCGAATATTGTCATTCACAATCGCAACTTACCTTTCATAATCCATCATTTCATTTTATAAATTGTAGGGACACCGTTGCTGATGTATCCGGTTTTAACCATTTAAGCGTTAAAAAATGAATAAACATAAATGAACAACTAAGAAAATTAAAGCTTTCGCTGTATATTTTACTACTACACTATACACGTAATACAAAAATCTTGGAAGATATTAAAAATATTAAATTTATTTTAGACAAACAAATATTATCTGTTATATTATAAGTTAATTCAAAGAAGATAGTTAGTATAAAAATAAGAAACAAATAACATAACTTACCATTATCCGCAAAACAGCACCAGCAATATTGTAATCCGAATTCCATTAACAGAAACACCACAAATCACTAATTATTCACAATCACTGCACAAAAATTCGAAATATAACAATAATTCGAAAAATAATTAAAACTCAGAATAGAATCTAATAATAACGTTTGGCGGGAAACGCGAGAACATCGAAAAAGTTCAACTGGTGCGTGGAACGGAATGTTACTCGAAAGCAAGCGAACGCGCCAAACGGCGGGCACTGGTGGACTGCGATTCAACCAACGCTCGTTCATTTTCCCGCGCCGAATCCTTGCGCACCACGCATCAAACGTCACCCTTTGTCGTACGTTAAACTTAAAAGCATTCAAATGCAAAGGCGAATAATTTGTCTATACAACAACATAAGCGTTATAAAAAGTTAGTTAAATTATTAGTACGTGTAATATAGTATAATACGTGGGAAATCACGAAAATGGTCAAAACCCCAAACTTGTCACTTTAACTCCTAGAAGGACACACGATAGTAGCCTTCCATTTTCAGGATTGAGGGCTACAAAACACATAAATAAATAAACTTTAAAACCTTTATGTCGTTACAGGCTCTCCTTCGCAATACTTTTTTTTTTAAAAAAAAACGAGCAAGCGACGAAGCAGGAGACGCACATAAAGAGGACATTTCTCCTTCCTATGCGTGTCCTCCACCATCAAATCCACTTTTCCTAACCATCCTCTCCTCTCAAGAAAAGCGGTAAAAAGGGAAAGGGACTAAAATTAGGCCGCCGGCATCACACTCATCAGACGAATTGATTCCGCTTCACGCCTGTCTTCTGTGTGTTCGTGGTGTTGCACCAAGCGACCCATTCGTGACGATGTTAAAGCGGGTTATCACAAATAACTTGAATTTCGAAGTAGAACTCCAATAATTGTTATTACCTTCGCTTCTTATTCTTCGTTGTGACGACATCGATGAAACAACGATAGCCGGCAGTTCAGCTGTTCATATTTTCCTTGATTTAAAGTTTAATTTCTGCTGCCACTAATAGATGACCAAATTCAATATATTCATGTCGTCACAATATTGCGTTGTAAATTGTGTTCACATATCGTAGTAGCGGTGGTTAAATGGAATAAATGCATCCGAAAATGTACATCATTAGGTTGGCTTCGCGTCAAATAAGATACATAGCTCATCAAAGGAAGAAGCCAGAGACGAGAAGAGCTGATACAATGTGGAAACGTTGGGTAATATGTCCGATGACAATGGCGCGAATGGAAGACACAAAGCCGCGCGCCGTATTGTGTGAACCCGCACAATACATCTTGCATATACAAACATAACCAATTTACTTTCGTATTCACTAAAAATGACAAGCAATTAACACTCTTATTTGAACGCAATAGAGCCTTTGTTACCATCAGGTATTGCCTATACCTAATGTGCTATTAAGTGTCAGACTACGTTTATATTAATGAATAATTTGATGTTTCAACAATATCTCAACGTAATATCAATGTATCAATTGTGATATAGAAAATTTATTATGCCTTTGTGTTATCAAAATTGCGTAGAGACGTAGACGCGTAGCTTGTAGACATTTCACGTAGCGCTCAATAAAGGGATAATATTTCACGGTTACTCGTTATTGTTAGTCTTTTCGATTATGTTTTGTAAAAATACGTGATGTATTTATGGAATGTTAATAACAATTAGCTTTCGCCCGCGACTTCGTCCGCGAAAAATTAAAAAAGAAAGTAAGTATCCTATGTGTTCCTCCAGACTATCCTTTCCAAATATCCTATCCGCCAAATATCATTGAGATCCATTTAGGCTACAAACTCTAACATAAATGCATCCATCCAGACAAAAGTTTAAAAAGATAGTAAGTTAGAAGTAAGATGTCTATTTTTTGCAATATTGCGATAAAATCAAAATACAATGAATAAAAACTTGTATTAACATCGAACACGTAAAATGGCATGAAAAATAAAATATATCTAAGTAAGAACGTGTACATTCACGTGGAAAAGTTAAAAAGAAGTCTGTAGGGAGGTACTGAAAATAAATAAGTGTTGAGGAATAAAATAAGTTTCGCGGTCCACCATTGTGCGGAGGGCGGGCCGCCTCCTAGTCCAAACAGTATTTCCATTGTGTCTGCCATTACCTAGCCCTCTTTTCGTCTTTTGTATTCGCCTCTTCTATTGAAGTGAGACCTTCCCAATGACGCTTTATGACCGCTTTGAAGTATGCAAGATATGGCGAAACATATCTACACGTTTCTTTACATTTTCTTTGATTATGTTACATTTCAATGTACTTATCTAAAGATATTTTCTATAGGGGAAGGACCTGTTTATTTCTTTATTTCCGATATCAACAATCGCTAATTCGAACGTGTAATTTAGACCATGTTTTTTCTCATTAGCTTTCATTTTTATATCTACAACTAATATGTTTGTACGTAAACATTCATACAAATGCCCTGGTTCGAAAATCTAACCCATAAATTAATTGGTTTGATACAATTTTGAGTTACACATACAAGTTTGATACAATACTATTACTACCTATGTTAATTATTATAAAGCTACAGCATTAGAGGGTTTTCTAACTTTTACAGATATTTCGATTATGTAATCTTAAACTGATTTTATTTTTTAGGTTTACCAGGAAAGTAAAACGTCTCGCTATGTTACGGAAAACCTACGGAACTATTTTTTTGTAATGACAACCCAATTTATATCTATACATATAATAAAATCGGAGTGTCTGTAATGTCAAATGAAAAATTACAGATTTCAGGAAGATGATGTATTTACGTTGCTGATAACAAAAATCACATTTTTTTCTATTTGTCCGCAAGCCCTATTTGTTCCTACCGAACTTTCACTGAAGGGTAGCTGACATAGACGGGCATATTATACGCTACTTTTGTATCTAAATATTCCGTGGACATATTCGCAGGCTACAGTTAGTTTATAACATAAAAACTCGTTTCCATGGCATTACCTTTGTTGGTTGTCGTCGAGTTGTCAAAATGTTTTATTTTAATCGGGTAATATTCTTGGTAAATTGATAGTATGATGTGTTAATATTCTGAAAATATTTATAGTCGTGGTGAAAAAAATAAATACACGTAGGATAAGTCTACAATACTGAATTTCATTTTTAAATGACATTTATTCGTTGGATGTATTGACAGTGACAAATACATAAAGTGTTACAATATTCATGGAGTAACGTAACGATGAAAAAGGTAAGGTAACACCTTTTGATTTTGTAGATCAAATCCTTGTTCTGTTATTTTTTTTCTATTTTGTGTAAAGCTAAAACATCGGTGTATTTTAGTTCTAACTTTGCTTTTTTTATATCCTTGGCTTGACACTTTACTTTCATAGAAAACGCAGTCTAATCATAAAATCAACCTACTCAAAGTCTTTATGAGTACTTAAACTATTTTAAACTCAGTAGAATTTAAAATTACTATTGGTAACACCAAACCAAAACTAGTGTATGGTTTTTAATTTTTTGTTTCGTTTCGTTTTCGACGCCATCTTTGATGGTTGAAACTGAAAGTGCGTGAAAGAGTTTATTGTAAAAGGAATATGTCAAGCACAATATAAATTACGTTTTTTTTTTCAAATTGAATCATAACTTTGGAGGGAACGGTAAGTTGATATCAATATCTCATTATATCTATACAAGTTAATTTTTGCGTAAAAAATCTTATCAAAATGGCGTCTCATAGTCGGCGTGCACCTTATTCTTAAATTATTAGTAAAAGTATGTTCTCAATTCTTGTTCTAGTATAACATGGAGGCCACATTGGATGCGTCCTTAGTGGCGCAATCCATAAATTACCATGGGCAACAACTGCAAAAAACATGGGAGTCCGAACGAGGTGAAGACGATTTGTCGAAAATTGGCGTGGGTGGCTTGGATTTCGCCGTCTACCAGTCTAGACATAAGCATCTCACTTTTCAAGACCGTAGCAAGCGCCTCAAACTTCATCAGTTTATTGCCAAAGAAGCTAATGCCTTGTTCGACGCATCGTTATTAGAGGAAACTCCAACATCTTCGAGTTTAGGAATCGACGCTACAACGCCAGAAGACAGTAAGTAAAAGTTGATTTATTTTTTACAATCTACAAATGACTGAATGTCCATGGACAGCGATAATCTCGTTGTTCCCGCTTCTTGTTTGCCCTCTTCACAAAGAGAAATGATTTCACAACCTTAACAAAAAAATTAAAACGTAGATTGTTTTTTCATAAAGTCATGAAGACTAATTTTAAGAAAGATTCATTACAAAATGTAATGCCATTTTAATACAAATTATACTTAAAAATTCCAACAGGAAATTTTAAAGTAACTGTACAACTTTGTTTCAGATATGTATGCATTGATGCCGCCATTTGAAACATTTTTGAATGTAGACAAATCAGCAAGGTTACGGCATTTCTTTGAAGTAAGTAATTGTTTGGATTTCCTTGTATGTATTGTTAGATCTTATTCTCAAAAAGTTCTGAATAGTTTTCACAATTTATCGTCACTTCTGTATCATAAATGACTAATAAGTTTAATAAGCACTAAAAAAAAGTAAACATATTTAAAATAACTTAACATTAACTCCCACATGTAAAAATACATACCTAATAAAATTGGCCTCAGTTGGCCTTGTTGAATTCATTGTAATGCAACATTGAATATAAACAATATGCTAACCCTGAGTTTACTGTTCAAAAATTACTAGTAACTCAAGAATAGACTGGCTATTTTATTTTATTATGATTATATTCAAATTACTCAAATTGTGTAATAAAAAATTATTGCACAATAAAATAGTTTATATGCTAACTGACAAGGCCTGTATTTATAGTGTGACAACCTTAATCCACCTGTTAAAAGTGGTACTGGTAACACAATTATTGCGACCTGATTGGCCAACCCATTGATCAAACTAATGGAAAAAAAATCCAATGTGTCATTTGGCCCTACATGAGCACCTGTTTATTTTTCATTTCAATTAACTTTGTGTTTTATAAAATGTGAATGTTCTTGTTTAGAATGTGAAGACGGGGGAACTGATAATAGGAGCAGTCATCAACAGGACTCAATCTGGAATGATGCTCAAGGTGTTGTGTACTGCGGGTCCCACCTCCAGATTTGTTGCAGATATCAATGTCAAGGTATGATACATTCTTTTACCTTACTCACACTGTTTACCTACTTAAAAATTATACAGTTCTTAATAAAGAAAAATTAATAATGACTGCAAAAGTTGTACTACAGCACCTCATTAATTTTAAGTATTTTATGACAGGCTTTTCTACCCGTGGCAAATATCATTCCTGCGGTGGACAAGAAAAATGTGTCAAGAAACTACCTGATGAATGACACTGTTTGCTGTGAAGTTATTGAAGTAATTCCAGACACCGACAAAATGGTGTGCGGCATGAAAGGAGTTACTCGGGGCCCAGAAGACCCTCAGCCTAAGCCCCCTCTCGGCCTTCTCAGCACCGACGACTTTCCTCTCATCTACAAGTATGTATACACTTAGTTTTGTTTGTCAAACCAATTTATTTTTTACACTTGCAGATCTGTCAATGCAATTTTTAACACAATTTATATGTGTAGATTGTATATGTTCATGCTATTTTGTGAAGATGTTTGAAGTGAGAAATCAGCGAGTAAAAGAAGATAATGGAACCAAGAATAAATGATCTGAAGAACTGGAATTCCAGACGGGACAATTTTTGAAACTTCATCAAACAATATCTATGCTTTTGTAGAATATTAGAAGAGTTTGTCTATGTGGGCTGTTCACTGTCATCTTGTGGTTGAGAATAAGAGGATTTAAATTTTTGTTTCACTAGTTTATGATCACATTTCAGTAAACATTCACACTGCTCACCCAAGTTGTGCAAAATATGCATGCTTAAAAAATACTATAAATTGACAGTTGAAAAATTATTTACATGGATTTGTGATGGAAATTACTGTCTTATTAGAAGATTTTGTGTTTTATTGTCTCAAGAATTTTATGCAGAAATTGAGTCAATTAAACAATACACACTTTTTGTTACGTAAGAAGGTCAGTACAAAACTTAGGGTTCACTACCTGCATTCTGATTATGTGAATGGGACTTGTTATTCTATATTAAAGTTAACATTTAATATTCCAGCAATTATCTGAAACAATTGGTTGGACTTTATTATAATGAACATTTATTGGATGTTGGAGTATTTATTTATAATAAAATGGAGTAGCCAACGCACTTATATATTTAGCTGAGGCGAGGCTCATAAGAAAACTAAGTAGCAGCGCAAGTTGTTGTTCGGTTTCATAGGAGTTGTTGACGGCCGGGCTGGAAAAGAAACACTGTTTGTCATTATTTTAGGGTGTTTTTTTCTAGGTTTAGCAACAATCCCAAGACCCGTTTGTAATACCCACTACATTGTTGTGACTGTAGCTGAGACAATTTTGGTAATATTAATGTCACATCTTGAGGCAGCATCACCTAATATATGATGTTATATTTCTGTGTGAAAGAATAAAATACCAGTAAAATAACATTTTTAGAACAGCTTCATGGCAACAGGTGAGGACTATGTACCATGTGACATTATGCAGACAGTTTTGATAGGAATATAATGTACAGCTAAGCCAAGTTAAATTTTAATCATATTTTTTTTATTTTGAATACCTCTGGAATGACATCATTACATAATGAATGGAAAGGCCATTTTATTTCATTAACTTGTCACTAACATGGTGTATGTTTTAAACAGGAAAACCTTGGAAATGAAAGGAGAAAGTTATGAAGCCATTTTAGAGAAGAGTCCAGGCTTCAATAACCCTAACTGCGTCCAATATCTTTCGGAACTCCTCGGCATTGCAAATATGCACTGCACCAATTTTTCATCTTTGAGGTAAGTTTCATTTTATCATTAACTTACTATACATCACCACTGAGGGTTTCAGAGTCTACCTTAAGTTTTGGTGGCAATTAGGTCACAGTCAATCTGGCACTCACCCAAAGCAGGTTGACTTCACACATATCTTTGAATTTCTTTGTAGATGTACAGGTAGCATTATAATCTTTTCTTTCACCATAAGAACGTCATATACAAACGAAATTCGAAAAACGAAAAATTTATTGGTCATTGGGGTGATTTGATCCCAGGATCTGCAGATTATAAGTCAAGTCCTTAACCCCAGAGCTATCTACACTCTTAAACTAATTTTTGTGCTCTTAAATTTTATTTAACTTTTGTGACTTTTAATATTAAAATAAGTTGTATTAATTGTGATTTTTTTTTATTCAGAGGTGGATTTCAAACTACGGAATACGCAGATGAACTTCGTCAGGCTCAAGCAAGCAAGTGGGCATTCCGTTCTGTTGCGGAAGGGATAGAACACTTCAAGGCTGGACGACATTCTGAAGCATTCCAGTGTCTCAACAAAGCACTGAGTATTGATCCCAGAAATGTTGAAGGACTTGTTGCCAGAGGGGCATTGTATGCAAACAGTGGAACATTTAAGAAAGCTATAGAAGACTTTGAAACATCACTAAAATTGAACCCTAACCATGCAAATGCTCGAAAATACTTGGGAGAGACTTTAGTAGCACTCGGACGTAGTTATGAAGATGAGAACAAAATAACGGAAGCACAAAAAGCTTACGAAGACTGTTTAGCTATTATCCCATTCCATGAAGAAGCACAAAACTCTCTCGATTTCCTTAAGAGTAAAACATCTACTACAAAGCCATTGATTGAACCGGCAGAACTTTTGCTACCAGGACTAACGGGTGCAAAGTCATTCGAAATGAAAGAAACTCTCAAGCAACTACTGAATCTTACAGAAAAGAAAGACAAGAAGAAGAAAAAGAAGCGAGGGAAAGGGAAGAAGAAAAGGTCCAGCAGTTCTTCATCATCATCAAGTGATACTTCAAGCTCCAGCTCGTCCTCGGAGTCGTCGTCATCATCTTCTGATTCTAGTGGTAAGGGAGTTTCACAACTGAGCCAGAGTAAGGACTTCCATCAGGTAGAAAGTTGTAAAAAGTAATATATGTGAAGTGCATTATAATCTAAGTTAAATCACTAAACAAACTTTAACCCTCTTAGTACATGATGTGAAATTTAAATACAAATGTATGTCTAACAAAGGCTGTTCCTACTTCTGTCTTACATGAGTTTCACAAACTTTTGCTTCTAATTTAAACATAATCGAATGTTTTCATCAATTAATTTCAACTGTTCTGACTCAAAATCTTCTAAAGAGTTAATAAACTATTGTTTTAGCTTTGTAATATGAACTAAATAACTTAAACAGATTGTTATGTTACTTAGATAATGCCTGGTTCACAGTTGGATAGTAGCACAAGGCAGGCATGGATCTTATGGACTCACTGACTCACTGGCGCCAATCACATGCCAGTTGCATTCCAGTCAGTTATTGAGCGCGACTGTCCAACTGTACTGGGCAAATGTGATCCAGACGTAATGTTATAAAAGTGATTGTGTTTTTAAAGATTCGGAAGGTCCGAACCGCAAGAAGAAGCGTCGGTCGCAGTCGAACAGCAAGCGACAGCGGTCGCTGTCGCCGCTGAGCAAGCGCATGGCCATCCTGGGCGACGCGGAGTCCGCCTCGCGCACGCACAACTCGCAGTTCAACCACCCCTACGGCTACCAGCCGCCGCCGCCCGCCGCGCCCGCGCCGCACCTCCCGCACCACCCGCAACACCAGCAGCACCAGCAGCACCAGCACGACGAGCCCGCCGCCGCGCCCGCGCGCTCGCAGGCTGATGTCGATTATGAAATTAAAGTCAGTATTTATACTTTTTGATATGTCTAAGGCATTTACCAGACAAAAAAAACATACAGACGAATTGAGTACCTCCTTCTTTTGGGAAGTCGGTAAAAAAATAATTTCAACTAGCCAATACCAGACAAATAAGTAATAACAAAATGTTAAAAGTATAAACATAACATTTTGAATAGATTAAAATTGTGTTTGCGGCATTTTTTGTTTGCTTCAAAATAGATGGTTCCTTTTTTGATCGTCTTGTATCGTAAGCCACAGTTTTGACGATTTATACGTAAAGTAATGCGTCGTAATTAATTGTATTTTTGACAAAACATGTCTTGCAAAATATGAGTTTGAAACTTAAGATGATTTATGTAGGAGCCATCGAATTGTGAATTTAAAATATTACATTATCTAGCTTTCCAACATAAAGTAATCATTGTAACAACTTTAAATCGAACATTTAATATTAATTCTGTGCGCTAGTGAATTTATTTTAAGTATTTAATCTTTAGGTTCGGAAGTTCTTGGAAATGACAAAAGAAGACTCGGACTATGAAGACAAGGTGCGCAACTTCCTGGAGGAGACTGCGCAGTACAAGCGCAACCGCAAGATGCAGGAGCTCGGACAGCAGACGCAGCCCGGCGCCGAGCACGACAAGAAAAAGAAGAAGAAGAAGGACAAGTAAGTCAACACCCCCTTGCTATTGTTCCTTTTAAATGATATGGATGGAAATGGGAGAAGACTAAAATAGACATCCATTGGTATACTCGGTTGAAGTGTTTGATTAACAAATACCTATTTTAGCTAACTAGCTAGAACGCTACTAACAAACTAATCACGATAGCCCACTTAATGTTTATCATTTAATACAAGGAAAAAGAAGAAGGAATCTAAAAGGAAGCGCAAAGAGCAGGAGAGAGAAGATAAAAGGAAGGCGAAGCTAGCGCGCTCCGCCAGCAACAACGACTACAGCCTGCGGGACTTGGACAACATCGGAGATAAGAAACTAAGAGATGCTATTAGGTAGTTTATTCAGAAAATAAATGTTCATTTTCATTGAATTTTCCATAGTTAAGATGAAAGAAAAAATCTTAATTTCATTATTTTACTTTGCTACCTAGAACACTGTTGCTCTACAAACGACAAATAAAAGTATTCTTAATAAATTTCTTTGTCATAACTAAGACCATTGCTAGTCTAAAAACTACTTACTGCTTGTGTGTTCTTGCTAGTTTGTGGGTAGAGTTACAAATATTAAAAATATGAACATTGCAGGAAGGAATTGAAAGGAAAATCCAAGAGGGACCTCAGTTCCGATGGGGAATATGAAAGAAAGCACAGTGATAAGAGGTACTTTTATGTATAATACAATATACAATATATAATACAATCGTTACATTTTAAACATTTAAAACTAGCGCTCGTCCGCGAAAAAGTTGCCCATGATGTTTCTGCATATATCAAGTTACCTTTCCATCCAAATTAAGTCAGTTATTTTGGAGATTACATGGAACATATAGACAATTTTTTTTACAAAAATACTTCGTTATCATTAACACAAGTACATTATTATTGCCATAATTTGCCAGTTATAACACCATTTATTAGAAAATAGGTAAACGATTGACTTGTAAATATTTTTCTAGGATGATGGACGACATGCCGGGCTTGGACGACCTGGAGTCCAAGATCAGCGCGTACCACGTGATGGTGGAGAAGGAGGCCCTGAAGCGGGACGGCCGCGCCTCCCTCAGCCCCATAGACCAAGCACCTCCGCCGCCACTAGAGAAACCTAAGTGGAAGATGTCTATGAGTGCGGTTAAGGAAACGTTAGTATACATTACTACTGCTACTAAACAAAAGTTATCAGCTTCTGAAATTTAGAGCCATGTAGCTTGTAATTTATACTGTTTTACATCTGCTTTTAAATGTTATTGGCTGGTAGTAAGACTGGTTTTTGGTTATATCAAAATTAGAAATGTGTTTAAAATTAAAAGATGGTTGAGAAATAATAGTTCTAAATTTTAAATTTCAGGTGATTAAAAATAGTCATTCTTGGATATACAAGTTGTATTTTCAAATGTATTATGTGATGTGTGTTATAACAATTTTTCGTTTCAGTACAAGATAGTTATTATTTTATATAACATTACATACATTAAAAACACAACATGTTGTCTACGGCTTCACATGCGTTTTGTTTGAGTAAATTTTCCTCTTTCGTGAAAAGGTTGTAAATTAAGGTTTCTGATACACAAAAACAAGATTTATAGGCAATATACACAGTTTATTTTTTAGTAGGGTTAAGAAGAAGGATACGCCGGTACAGAAGGGATACAAAGAACGTTACGCGTTTGAAGATAGTTCTGATGAATCCCAAGAACAAACTAAGGTAAGTTTACATTTTACTAAGGTTGTGCAACTAATAAAATATAAGGAAAACCAACTTTTTACAAGAGAAGAGGGCAAGAGGGCAAACCAAGGTGATATTTCGGTTTCGGTTTTGTCTTTCCTCTATTAGTGTGATAATTTCCAAGGTTTCTAAATTATGTTATTAATGATGAACTGATGTATTAGCCGTCGCCGTCGAGTGGTGATAAGAACGTGTCGGTGCGACGCGCCATGGCCATGAAGGAGCCCGGCCCCGGCAAGTCGCGCGAGCCCGACCCGCCCGGCACCGAGCCGCCGCACCACCACCAGCACCAACACCCGCACCCGCATCCGCATCCGCCGGTACACACACACACAAACACACGCGCACACAACATACAACAAACATAGAGACAAATTTTGTGCTGTCCATGTTAAAAAATCCCTATTTTTTTTTTAATATTCCCTTTTCAATCAATTCCTAAAATGTTTTTCTACCGATATTATTTTTAATTCTTTTATTTTTTGCTATATTTGTAACTTATAGAATATTATTTGCGTTTTTTTCCTTCAAAGCATGTTTTTATTTGTTGTATTATTTTAATTTCCATCCACAGGTGCGCAAAGGCAATATAGTGCTAGACAAATTCGGTTCGTTCCGATTGGCGCAGGAGGGCGAGACGCCGGTGTGCGTGGGCGACGCGCGCCCCGAGCAGTTCGTGACGCGCATCAAGCCGCCCTCGCCCGCCGCGCGCCGCCCGCGCTCGCCGCCCTCGCCGCCCTCGCCGCGCCGCCGCTCCTCCAACTCCTCCGAGGACGACCGCCGCTCGCCCAAGCGCTCCCGCAGCAGGTCCACCCTCTCACTACCTACCACTACCGCTATTTACTCACGACAAACACGCATGTGGAACCTTACACTAGCTAAAACACTACAATTTAGGATCGTGTACTATTCCTTGCTTTATATATGTATTTTATAATAAAAATAATTAGCAGGTCCCGGCCCCGCAAGTATCGATCGAGGTCCGGTTCGCGGTCGCGGTCGGCGTCCACCGGCAGCGCGTCGCCCGCCTCGCGCCGCCGCCGCTCGCCCTCGCCGCGCTCGCGCTCGCGCTCCGACGCCAGCCGCTCATACTACTCGCGCAGCCGCTCGCGCTCCCGCTCCGGCTCCAGGGACAGGTGAGACATCGGCCTGATGATGCAGAACTTCCCTCAAGATCAATCAATGTTTATATGACTAGCTGATGGTCGCTACTTTGCGTGAAATACAAAATAGTAAAAGTTATTAGCCTATGTTACACACCTTTAATGTAGCTTTTTAATGTTGAAAGAATTTTGAAAATCTGTCCAATAATTTTCGAATTATTTTGATACATACAAAAAATTACTATAAACTTGGAACAATGGTATGCACTATCCTAATAAATACCCATTCACCCTTTTTAAAATTATCATTTACATACAGATTAACTATTTTTTGAGATGTAACAATTTGAAATGTTAAGATATTGTCAATTAATATTGCATGTGTTGCAGGATGCGGCGCAACAACCGGCGCGGCAACTGGCGCGGGCGCGGCGGCTTCGAGCGCGGCACGTACTACCGGCCGCGCTTCCACACCTACAACGGCAACAGCCGGGGCCGCGGCCGCGGGGACTTCCGCCGCGACGACGGCCGCCGCTTCCAGCCCGACTGGCGCGACAACCGCTCGCGCGGCGGCCGCCCCTTCCGCCCGCGCCGCGGCGGCCCGCGCGGCCGCCCCTTCCGGTCAGCACCACACACCTCAACATGACTAGCTTCTGCCCGCCACTTCATCCGCGTCAATTACACAACTGTAACAAGTAGCTGTTAGAGATTGCTCATAACAATTAGACCGCCTTTGTGCAAATAGTATTTGATAAATAACTTACGTGTTCTTCATGGCTATTTCATATGTCCATTATATGCTTCAAATTTCATCTAAATCTACTGATCCATCGATCCAAACTTTCGCATTAATAACATAAGTAAGATTAGTTTAGTATGATAAAGTAACGTTATAATAGAATAACCTTTCCCCAACTTCGACTGCTAAGATAGATTACTGTAAGTTTAAAAAACGATGTATTGAACAGAGGCGGGTTCCGTGACTTCCGCGAGCGGCGCGGCGGACGCTACTCGCGCTCGCGCAGCCCCGACCGCACGCGGCGCTCGCGCTCCTACAGCCCCGAGCGACGCGACAAGGACAACAGGGACAGGTCGGTATCTCACACCTTACACACACACAATACAAGGCACCAATCTGTGTGCGCTTTAGCCTACATTTCCATTGTGTCATACAGAAAACTATTTTTATTAAGAATTTTAACATTGTAATGAAGTAATAGTTTGTATTAGAACGCGCGCATACTTTTTAACAAACTATCGCACAGCTGGTTAGTCGCGCTTTGATTCCTATGAGCTTATATGGAGGTGCGCAGAATACTCGATTTTTTGGTGTATAACTAAACACCTGTTTAGTTATACCTGAATTTCACCTGAATGGGCTTCGAAACAATCGACAATCGGACAACAGTTTTATGATTGTTCAGTTAAAGGTGTGCGACTACTCTTAGTGTATGCACCAATTTCTTTACCCAGATACTGAATTTGTTTCAACTTTGCTTTCTAAGCTTGCTTCTTCCGATTAGCATCACAATTGATATTACAGCTACTCTCGTTTGTCCGAACGCAACAGCCACCGCAGCGAGGGCGAGTACGAGGAGGAGCGTTACGTGGACCGCAAAGAGTACGACGGCAAGTGGGCCGACGGCAACGAGCCCGACAGGACCCAGCACGAGGAGAAGGCCCCAGAAGAGGCGCCCAAAGAATAGCCCCATCAATCTACACTTTTACCCTCTCCCCCTCTCCCTCCCCCGACTTCATGTTTCTTGTTAAGACTAGTATTAAAAAATTCTACTATAAGGTGCTTACAGATTTAAAAATAAGTTTCATTTAATGTAGGATTTAAAATTGTAAATATATAAGTGGCTACAAATGTAACAATCCATGTTTGACTCTTGCATTTTGTTTTTTTTTATAAACAATACTTATTTGCAATATTATCTCTTGTTGTGTTTATTCAATAAATAGTAGGTTTGTATTGATTCCTTGTAATGTTTTAGTAATCATTCCAGTGTAGAACTAAAACTCGACTAAATTACAAATATAGATCATTCTATTGGTGTGTAATAATTAAAGATAATTATTAAAATGAAATTGTTGTTTTATTTCAAAATCAAAATGTTTTATTTAAAGTTAAAAATCACGCATTTGAGGTTAAAAGGGTAAGATTAAACAAAAACAATGTTCTATTAAAAAGTTTATTGATAAATAATAAAAATAAAAGTGCCAAGTGAACTTCAATTGTCATTCTGTACTTTTTTTTCTAAATCCTACTACAGACGCGAATTTCTGACAGTGTTAACTGAGCAGTTGATTAACTGAGTAACTACTGAGCGCATATAGCGAGCTTAATCTAACTGGTGTACAATTCTTTATTACAAAACAATTTTGCACTATTGTAACTTGAATGACATCAATTAGTTAATACCAACAGTCAATTGACATGTTAAGGCACTAGTTACTAATTTTACAGTAAAAAAGACATTATTTTGTGGCTTAATCGCATTTATAACCTAACCAGAAAACTTAAGCCCCTCAAAGCCAAATTGATTTTATTTCTGGTTAGACTACAACTGCCATACAAGCAACTTGATGTAACCAGTGTTGACTGTTTAATTACTTAACTTATAACAAGTATAAAATAATAATTTAAGAAACCTAAAAAAAACTATCACCATAATAAAAAAAGTCTTAAGAATTAAGTTCTATGTGCGCTTCTTCTTTTTCTTGTTCTTAGTAGTTGTAGTCTTAACATTCCAGTACCAGAAGAGTTGAAGAACCAATGCTGCATTGGTTGCTGTTGACACACAGTATGTGAGGATGATGATGGAGTCACCTGTCTCTTGTATTGATGTGAATATTCTAGCAATGCTTCCACCAAACAGCAAGGCACAAGTTACCGCAGACAACTGTCCTGTGCTGCCATTCTTATAGTTTGTTAGTATCTGTATAGCCTGAAAATTATACATTGATTAAAAAACTCAATGAATAGTGTTTTATACCTCCAATGAATTGTATTCGAGTTATAAGAAACTGTTTCAAATTCAGTTTGTTAAGCAGAATAAATTACCATATTTTAGTTTTGTAAACTTTTTACCTTAGCAATGACAATGATTGGTACATTAATAGCTTGCATGGACCATAATACATCTTTTGGAGTGTAACCACTAACAAGTGTTGAAACTAGTCCAATGTAAACAGCTAAAAATGTTGCAGCCTTCAACGAATTCCCTCCATAATGTAGGACAAGGACAGCAATGATTGCTGTTTGTATTGCAAGGAATGTTCCTTCACCCCATGCACTAAAAAACAATTGTTATGTAACACATATGCTATAAAACTCGATGGATATCTGGATATCATTTATCTTAAAATTCATTACCTGAATGGAAAATTCATAACATAACTGTAAGAAAAGTTTGCAGTAATAGCAAAAAGTTCTAAATAAACTCCATAAACATTGATGCCTTCAGCACTTTTACTGCCCAGTATTTTTAGAATTTGAGGTACTTTTACCAGTATGGATCCGGCGATGATACCAATCCCAAGACCTTTGCTCAAAGTGCTTTTAAAACATGGTACTGAAATAAAATTATTGAAATATAACCTGTACAATTCAAATTATTAAACATGTTTTATACAAATTACAAACATGTCTTACTTACCGTCAAGAAAGTTGTAATTAAGAAAATACTCGTCGTAGCATTTTTCAGATAAAATCGATAAAAGAAGACCTTTGATAAAATCAGCCATTTTATTTGTATTTCCTTACATTTATGTATTTATACACCGACGTTACAATCTTGTCAAGTAAATATATGTAATTTATGCGTAAAACTTAACTATTTATGTTATAAAAACCTATAATGTAATAAATATTCTATTCCGCTTTATTGGAATAAGAAAACTGACATATGGTGTCGTATCGCAAATTATGACATGACGTTGATAACAAATGTCATTCCACGTCGTTCCTGTTTAACGTTCTAGAAATGTTTTAATTACATTTTTTTAGAGTGAATTTTGTTAACCATTTTTTTTAATATAAAACTTATTTCAAACTAAAATTAAACATTCTTCTGAATCGATGTTGTAAGGCCTCTATACAGATTACTTAATACCTCGTATAGTATCTGTGCTCAACACGTGTCTTTATTTTTTACACATTTATACATTCATGACGAAACGTAATTAGCACAAATATTTAGTTTCTTCATAATTATATACCTACAAAATTTAGGGCTATGACCGATTTCGTGCAATGCGTCATTCATGTACATACAATACATAAATAAAACAACATTAATAATGACATCATTTATTTATGACCATCTGATGCGACATTTTCTTACAAGTAATTTGGTGAATAACGGTGATGCTTGACTTTTCTTGCGCCGAGGACATCTTTAAACTTATAAAGTAATTAAATTAAACACGAACATAAGGAATTTATTGATCAATTACTTCTATTTCCGCATTATTACTAAAATTATTGTTTTACGACAATTACAAACATAAACGAACCATGACACAAAATACGCCAACATAAACTCTTATTGGACACCGAAAAAAAACATTGTAATTTAGATAAATAAAAAATAATCCATATTTTAACAATATTGGAAACCATAAAAATTAACAATTTTACTTTTACATAATATCGAATCTTTTGTTGCCGTTTTGTTCCAAAGAACATCAGATAATTCTACATTAAAAAGACCATGTCGCGATGACAATAATTTTCATTAATTTACTAAGTATAAAAATTATTTATTTTATAGTAATATTGCTTGAAATTAGGATCTAAGTACGAAATATAATAGGTAGTGTGTTTGTATCAAAATGGACAAATTGACACAAGATTCTCCCTAATTATTATAGACTCGCAATACATTGACCATCTGCATTCTGAAACACATCTAAAAATTATTGATGAATATTTCAACTTCCTTTGAAATATCTCCATTGGCCAATATGTAATTTAAGGCAATTAAACTCACAATCTCAATACAAGTAACTTTACTACCATCAATCACAACACGATTATCATTTATAGTATTACAAATTGAACTGGCTTAGTGCAAGATGTGCAGTTTGAGGTTAGCTGTAAAAAAAGAGATAATGATACATAATGTAATTTTTTTTTGCTCACCAGGTCAGATAAATTTGCAGCACTATACATAATTTCAACAACTTACTATCAACGATCAATTAATTTTATCTACGAATGTCAACTAGCGTCATTTACTAACTTCGAGGTCAAATTGAACTATTTTAAACTATTGTACATGAGCAAATATGAAATCTTATAAGTTATAGTTTTTTCTAGCTATTGTAAGGCAAATTTTACTAACAATTTCAGATATCTAAAATTGTCAACTGTTTTTCATTTTGTATTTTATCTTCATAATTATAAATATCCGCAAAACGTTTGTTATAAAAATTATAAAAGGAACAATTATATACATATTTCGAGTGCATGGTTCTTTCACGTTACCATTTGTACACAAGACTCATGATAAGGGTTTCAAAGAGAATGACAATTTGGGTCTTGAATTATTTTTGCCCAATATTTTCTTTTGTTCCTCTTTAACTCTCTTTTCTTGTTCTTTTTTCAACTTCTGTCTTTCTTCATCCATTTTTCTTTGTTCCTCTATCATTGCTAACCTTTCTTCCGCCTGGAATTTAAAATCATACTAATATTATAAATGCGAAAGTTTAGATGGATGTTTGTTAAGTTTGTAGCCTAAACGGTTGAACTGATTTCATTGAAATTTAGTATAGATATAGAGGATAGTCCAGAAGAACACATAGGCTACTCACTTTTATTTTTTTTATACCACGCGGACGGAGTCGCGGGCGATAGCTAGTTTTTATAATAAATACATCTATGTAAGAGAAAGGGAAATTAGTTCCAATAATAAAACTTGTTTAAAATGTTGATGTAGCTATATCCATGTCATAGCGAAACCAGTTATATCAAGGACTTTTACCTTATTTAAATTTTATGTCGAAAGAAATACAATTCATTCTTATAGAAATATCACACACAGTTGTGTATGTTTGTTTTTACTTTTTGCATATTAACAACCATATTTCTATTAATAATAAATATTAAGTAGTTTTAGATTTAAACTAAACGCACTTTTACTCTCTACACAAAAATCCAGCACATAAAACATAAAATCATACCCTGTACCCTGTTTGTACGCTAAAATATTATTTTGTTGTTTACATGTGTCAAATTCTCAATTGCCAAAATTATATTGTGACAATGTACATATTATTTTGTAATGGGAGAGGACTTTGTTATAATGTATAAAAGTTCAATGTGTACCTATAAAATGTATTAGTGCCATCTATTTTCAATGGCCACGGAAGATCAGCACATGTGCTAAGTGGCTTTAAATAAATAAATAAAATTATATAAATAAGTAAATAGTTGGGAGAGTTCCTGTCTAGTTATATTGAAAACATAAATAGCATGCAACTTACCAACTTTCGTTGTGCCTCTTCAATTTTTTTGTTATTTTCAGCCATGATTTCCTCCAGCTCTTTCCTTTTACGAGCTTCTTCCTCCTGTATAATAAAAAATGAACATTAATTCCGATCCCCACAAACACCTAGTTGCAATAAAACAAAGAAAATAACAATAAAAAATATAAATCAATTGTTAACATTGTAGCGTCGTGTGTGCGATTACAAGTCGTTTGTGTGTAGAAATGCATGAGAATAACATCACTGTCTTTATACAATAACGCATAGCATTGTGGAAAATTTCATTGAAATAACAAAACTATCAACTAAAACATATTTTGATTTTATAGACCTACAAATATCTAGAATAGTGTGTAATGTATGGCACGTCATTTTTGTGTTTTAGAATATTCATCATTTGTATTATGTATTTTTAAACATAAAATGTTGTTTTACAAAAAATAGATTCAAAAAATACCTTCAGTGTTCACGACAGGATCCTCAAGCTGCGTCTCCGAAAAATTCTTACGGCTTCTGGTCTTGATCAGTCTTCTGACCTGACTTATACACTACGTGACTGCCAAGGACAGTCAAGTGAACAATTTAAACAATGCTAGCCTGAAGCCTCGTCAGCAATCTTACACTGAGGCAGTTCATGACAAATACAAGTCTGCCTCGACAGTGCAAATGACATGCATGTGGATTAATGGAAGTCGAGTTAATCATTACGAAATTGTCAACAAGGACTGAACAACAAAGAGTTCAAGAAAATAATTCTTGTAAGCACTCGAACTACACCTGACCGGACCTTTAACAGATATGATCGAAACAATACTTTAATTAGTTACTCTTGTACATATGGTTGGCATTACTTAAAACATTGAAATGTACAAATTGTGTTTATTAGCTGTGAAAACGCTGTGTTCTCACAGGGTGAGGTCGGCCATGTGCAAAATCAACATCTGGCATTGTTTGTGCACATGGCTGGTACGAGGAGGGCGCAGTTACCTGTCTGGCTAGCTCCTCGCGCCGCTGCTGCTCTCGTTGTCGCTCCAGCTCTTGCATCATTTCTGTTTCCATCTTCCGTTTAGCTTCCTCCACTCTTTTCGCCACCTCTTGTTCAATTTCTTCTTTACGTTTTTCTAATTCTTCTTCGACTCTTTTCTTTACGAGTAATTCTATTCGTTTTGCGGCTTCTTCTTCAACCACCTAAATAAAATATTAAGTTTTTTTTATAAATTGGAACTCAGTGGCAGAGGTACATTGAAAGTTAAGACATCAACATATTGGTAGTTTACAAGTGTTGTTTAATTACTAAATATTAAGGTTTTCAATTATCTTGGTGTCTCAAAACATTGACTTGGAGGACACTGTGCAGCAGGCAATTGAACCACTAAGATATTTGTAAATATGTACCAGTAGTGGTCATTCCATAATATAAACACTACATCTGTCACTTCTAAAAATTATTAGAACAATGCATAAGATGTTACATACAAGATTAAACAATTGCATTTTTTTTACCTTGAAAATTCTAGAATAAGTATGAAATAAAACAAAGCATAAGCAGCAGAACAACTTATTGTCTTTTTTCTGCATATAATTTTTTCATATGTATTTTTTGATATACACCAAACTAATACTATGTTACTCGCAAACTAAATTAATGACCAGTTAAGTCAGAATTTATCGAACTCATAGGTATAGGATCACTAGCTCTAGTCCATCTTAGGTCTAGGGCAGCTACTGTCTCTCTCTCTCTCTCTACAGAAGATTTAATTCAAAGTTGTTTTTAGTTCAGCTTAATTATTTTCCAGCCACCTCCGCAGTTCCCCTGCATCTACCCCCAGCTGGCAAAGCCCATGGGTAGATGTTTTTATTTGGGTCAATATGTTTGAAAATCCTGAGTCTCAAAGTTAATTTAGTTGTAACATAAAATTACTGTGATAATAGCAGGAATTCCTAAATCTTTATACTATTATTAGGCATCAAAAATATTACACATATATTACAAATACATTTTCGAAAATAGCGTTAACTGTAAAAACAAAACCGAAGCTATTTTAATGTTTTACAAGACAATTTTTTCCTTTTATAATTATAATTGTTTGCAATAACTTAAATAAAGAGGACATAACAGTTAAGAGATGTCTGATTCCACATAATCTGCTTACCTTTAGTATTTTAGAGGGCGTAGTAGCAGATCTTGTGCCTGGCAGGGGTTCCTGCATGATCGAGAGGTGCGCATAATGAACAGGTAAAAGTGAGGAACACCTTTTACTTTCATACTTTTACATATTATAAAAATTGCTCTATCACATTGTTTATGAGGAGTTTGGACATGAGATGTACATTTTTATAAAAATGCATTTAATAATGTTTAAATTGTCCCCAAAACAGGTTAATTCAGTTCATTTTAATATTGTATAGATATTTTCTTTTTTTTTCTAAAATAAATATGAAATTAGGCAATTGTCTATGTTTCTTGTTTAATTGTAATATTGATAAAATTTTGTTATTACTAATTGCTTTTTAAGGCACATCAGAATATTATGTAAAATTTTTATTTCGTATTATACATATAAAAGCGGTATAAACTAATTAACTAGTTAAAATAGTTTTACATTAAAGCAACCCAGCAGTTGTTTAAGGTTATGTGATAGACTTGTCTGTTAATGTTTTCATTTAGTTACCTTTTGTTCAGCTTCTTTAACACGTCTTTGCCTTTCCATTTCAGCTAGCCGATCGACTTCGTCCATTTTGCTGCGTCCCTTAGACTTCTTTCTTCTGCTGCCATCATATGATGCATCGCTCGTACTAGATGTTGATGCTGAACGTGACCGTTTTCTAGTAAAACACATTAAGATTCTTATTGACATTTACACAAAAGTTTTAATTTTAAGCGTTTATTTACTTTTAAATTGAAAAATGCAAATTACCTTGATTTCGAACTTCTTTCCTTAGATTTTTCAACATGTTTTGAATTCCTGCTTCTGGATGAAGAGCGATCTTTAGACCTACTTTTCTTACGTGAATGTTTACTGCTTTTATGATGTCGCCTTGGTGATTTACTTCTTGATCTGGATCTGCCCATGGTGTTTAATTGAGTAATTTCTAACTTTTAATATTAAACTGTTGTAAAATGATAACGCCACCCCAGCTTTTTTAAGAACATTACCATAGAGTATAAAAACCATAGATTAAATAAACAGATTACAAATCTGTCAAAGAGTAGCTCATCTTGGTCGAATACTAATACTTTTTTGACGTGTGCGGAATTGCAAGTGTACTAAGGTCTTGCCAAATCCATTTCGCCCTCCCATTCATGTTTCATAAGAAAATGCTAGAGAGATGAAGTTGAAGACCTATATAGTTTTTCCTAGAGCAATGTTGCACAAGTATTATCATTATCATTTTGGGTGACACACTAGCAGCTAGTTAGCTGATGCGTGTGTGTTGTATAGCTCGGAGATTTTAAGATTGTCTAATCTATTTTTAAAAGCATTGACTGTTGGAGCCGCCACTACAGTATCCGGAAGCCTGTTCCATGCCGTGGCTACTCTGTTAGGCAGAAAATGCTTGAATGTATTTCCACGTTTGCTTACATGCAGCATATTATTTTGGCCCTAGGGCAAATACGATACATAGTAATAGTAACTACTTATATATGTTAATTGAGAAAAATAACAAAAGCGTTTTATTTAAATTGCATCAGTTTTATAACAGCCGTTTTGGTCTATAATATTATCTTAAATACAGTACAGTTTATATAGAATGATGACAAATTACATCGCATTATACACTTTTTCTTTTTCACTAATAAATGTTAAGATATCTGAAGATGCTTGGAGTACATAATCTTTTAGCTTATTTTCCATTTGTTCAGAACTACCATCAAAGTTTTTATTAACCGATTTACTGTTTTTTCTGTCTTTAATATTTCTAGGACTACTTGATTTTTGAATTCTTTTGCTCTTTTTCGGACATTGTCTCAAACTCTGATTAAAAATAGCATCAAATAGATTTAAATCTGAAAGAACGTGAGTTTCGTACAAGGTCTTTTTCTTTTTTGGTTTTTTACTTTTTCCTGTTATTGCACTAGGAAAAATATCCGAATCGTTTTTATCGGCATTTTCTTTATCACTGACAAAACCAGAAAGTTTTTTGTCTCTTGTTCTATTGTCGACAAAGGTCATATCACAAAATGGATCTTGGATTGCATCCTCGCTGTATATTGATTTAAGTTTCTTAAGAGACGATTCATCCTCATTATCATTACTAGATTCTTCCAAATTCTGTATTTGACTTATTGATAGATTGCCTTTGAAGAAATAATCGTTGGGTAGACCGCATCCTCGTACAACGAGTTCTGATGATGTACTAAATCTTGGTACAGTCATCGGCTGTTGGTAGATACACTCAAACATTCCTGTAGACGCATTTGGATCAATGGTGTGATCTATAACAACTATAAGAAACGATTAGTAAATAAAACAATCGCACAAAAGATCCAGTTGACAACAGAAGATAGCTTAAACAACGAGTTCCAAATCAGATGTTTTAAAAAAAGGCAAATAAAATTTCAAACCAATTTTTTTTTCTTAATTGTTTTACTAATCCAGATATTAAGTACATTTTTATAAAATGTTAAATATACCTTTAATAAGGTCATCCAAAACTGCTGGGCAAATCTTTGCAGTAACGTCCGTCGTATTAGTGAGATCAGGACATGAGTTTATTTCAATCAGCCATGGTGTATACTCTTCGTCTAGTAGGAAATCACAGCCGTAGAGTTCAAAGCGGTTCTTGCATAACGGTAGAGAATCTTGACCGCTGAGCATAATTCCAATAATCGATTTCTTCATACCGGGATAAATGATATGTTCCCAAACACCATCGCCACCAATCTTACTCAAATATTTTTTATACATATTCAGTTCCCACATGTTATTCATGGGCAGTTCTGGATGTCTACCAGCAAAATTATTATATTTCTTTTGAACAGCGTTGTTTGTCAGATGTATAGATTCGTGATAGTTTTCGAGGTTATAGTTTTGTGAACTAAACTTCAAGTAGCAGTCTTTGTACATCCAAATGACTAGAGGGTAGGTACTGGTTACTAGGTAATATTGTCGTATATCAAATTTTGTTTCGTGAATTAATAATGGTTTTTCTGAAATTAAAAAAAAAACTCCAAAAATATTTTTTACTACTTATATGACTTTAACTACAGATCCATTCATGTATGAAAAATGTGTTTCACTTACCGATATATTTTTGAACTACGTACTTCGCATTGGCCTTGTTCAATAGTTCTAGGATAACACCTAATTTAGAGGCCATCCTAATTCCCCTACCTCTTGACCAATGACCCGGTTTTATAATCCAAATATTTTGATAGCCCTCACATCTTACTTGTGGACGATAAATATAAATCTTTTCTAATATAAATTGAGCGTATCCAATATAAAGAAGTAGTCTGTTTTCCTTATCAGCTTCAAATAGCTCTTTGTTAGTTATAAGACGGTAATACTTTTTTAAAAAAACATTCCACTGTCTTGAGCTCACTGGTTTAATTGGATAATCAATATCTCTGTTACGTTTTTGTAACAAAAATTCTTTGCATCTGTTCAATGCAAAAGTCATAACTTTCATTGGTATGGTTCCAGTTTCGGAAAATATCGTGATATTATTAGCAAGCATAGATATTACCCATTGTATAAGACTAGTGCACGCTGTTAGTCTATAGTCTGTTATAAATTCTTCTATTTCTCCATTATCGTAACTATTATAACTTCGAGGACAGCACACTTCAGCTACGTCTTCTATGTAAAACCAGTAATTAATCTTCATATATGTGCACAAACCTTGTTTTGTTGTCCATAAGGCATCAGCTTTAAGCTTATTGACAATCGTTTTACACTCATTCTTCATATCGATAGAGGTATCATAATCTTGCTGAGTGTCGCGCCAAACGAAATTAGGATTGGATTTCTCAACTAAATTCGACAGCATAAGTCTCTCCAGCTCGTAATGTACGTCGGTTTTGCTAGATATTTTACCGTTATTTATTTTGAACATGTTTAATCGATTTGGTGGAATTTTTTCAACCCATCCTCTTTGTACTAAAGCTTTACGCACCGCGTTGCACGTACCAAAGATGGAAAATATTTTATTTTCCCGTTTAGCTTTGGAAGCAAGATCTTTTAATTTTGAATATCCAGTAGATTTGTTTTGCAAACTTGATATTATATATGATTTTTCTTTTGGACTAAGACCTAAAGAACGGATTGTATTCTTATACATTGTTGGATCTTTTTTACAAACAAATTTTTTTCGTGTTGTTATACTTTTGGTTAGTTTGGTATGTGCTGAGTGTGGCTCTTTGAAATCTTTACATTTGTTATTATTGTATGAAACTACTTTCTGAAACAGATTAAACTTGTTAAAACTTAATGCGATTCTCTATTTCTATAAAGTAAAAAATGATAGAAAGGAACAAATGAACAAGAGTGATACGAACTCTAATTTCGGCTTCGGAAACTGCTAATGAGAAGTTGCACATGTGTAGTTTGTGAAAGTTTTTTTTACAACATAAGGTGGCAAACGAGCAAGCGTCCACCTGAATCCGCCGAAATGGCGAAGCGACCATTGCCCATAGACATCGGCAATTGCAGATGCGTTGCCTACCCCTAATTGACAAAAGGAGGCGCACATAAACAGAATATTTCCCCGTCCTGTGCGTCTCCTCCGCCGTCAAATCCATTTTTCCTCTTGAATGAAGTGTGAAAAGGAAAAGGGACTAAAATTAAGCCTAACGCACGACACTCACTGAAACGCGGAATTGCTCCCACTACACACCGTCTTCTGTATTGTCGTGGTATTGAACCGGGCGAGCCGGACCATTCGTGCTAAGATATTAAAGCGGGCGCAACCACTGTTAGGTCACTATCAGGCTTACTCTATAGTCAATCTTTAACTTTCACAGGTCAGTATCAAACAAGAGCAACGGGCACAAAGGATTATTTATTCTTAAGCTTGCACACGACTTTAAAACTCGCATATCTCCGTTTTAAAATGTAACAGACTAGAAAAATAACATTATATACCTTTTTTGTCCGTTTGCTTTGATTTTTCACTGTTTTTTTTCTTAGCGGCATTTTTGCAGTTTTTAGTGAGTGGGGTCTTTTTTTAATCATTTCATTTTTTTTTGTCTCGAGTTAATTATGCTACAAAATGTTGATTACGTGAAATTTCCTTAGTTGTAGATATAATACAATTACTACTAAATACTTATTACTCTTTCAGATACCTCATCCAGTATAATGATTTTAAACCATTTTTCTCAATGTCACACGAATAGGGTAGGTTGTACCAACGTGGATCACATCGCCATTTTGACTTCCCGTTCTTGTTATTTTTATTCACTTATGTATTTTGATAATGAATAGGTTTAGGAAGGACATATAAGACTAATATAGTTATATCATACCAATATTATAAATGGATATTTGTAAGAGTTTGTAGCCTAAACGGCTGAACAAATGTCGATGAAATTTGGCATAGATGTAGAGGATAGTCTGGAGGAACAAATAGGCTACTTGCATTATTATTTTTTTTAATCCGAGTCGCGGGCAAAAGCTAGTCTTTAAATGTATAAATAGAGAAAGGCATTTATAACAAGTATTTTACTAGGTAATGAAATTTATATGAACTCCCGATATTATATTTAAAAAAGCATTTCTCTTCATATATGTAAATATTTTACCTGTTTAATTTCCGAAATCAATTGAGAGATAATTACATTACTTCTTTTTGCTATTATTTGTATTGTTTAACGTATTAAAATTTGACATGTTTTCAATTTTGATGACAGTGTGGAACCATAGATATATTTTATTTTTTACCGTCTTATCAAAGAGTACTCCTGTTAGAATTCTAGGAGGCAATACAAGGGCAAATTAGAAAGTGGGGGGTAGTTTTAATAAGACGTATTTAAAATATAGTGTAAAATACTAAAAATCATTAGCTTTGCCATCTACGTCTATATGTCTTAACTTATGTGTCGAAGTTAACATTTTCAACTTGTTATGTATCAGGACGGTAATCACCTTTTTGTTATAAAAGCTGCGGTGCGAATTTCATTGTATTATCATCACAAAGTCCTTATGAATATGCAAAGATCTTATAACGAGTTCTCGTTTATTCGTAAAACTAACTTTGTTTGTAAATTAAAACTAAACATGCAAATATTAATGTTTTATTTGTGGTAATAAACTTTAAAATTTCAACAAATGTAGTAAATACCATATATTTTCAACATTGTATCATCTGTAACACTTCCATAATTTAGATTCTGATATAGTAACAAAGTTTTTCATATAGTTGGAGATATTCAGATTGCGGTCTTTCTCTTGAATAATGTATTAGGATTTTCGTCATTCGGGGGCAATACTACGACTCCGTAGGTCGGGTAGATTGATGTGCAGCTTTTTGTAAAACTAATTGATTTCTGTTTAACTCTATTTTCATCTTGAATTCTACAAATATTTCTACCGATGGCGCTTAGTTTTTTCAATGAGTTTGAATCGTTAGCACAACTTCGTGAGCTCATCGGTTGCAATGAAGACTTTTGATTGATACCAACGAGACCCGATTTTGTTTGTCTCACAGGCGCTAAATTTTCAGTACGAACTGCGAGTTTGTTTTGAACCGAAATCGTGGATCTTAATATGCTGGCCGTCTCCCGTTCCCATTCCACGGGGTCGATGTAACACCGTTTGTTACCAACCGACATATCGATTTTCGGCTTATCTGATTTCCTCGCCGACTCGGTACGATATTTTCTGCTTAGTTTCGCCTCCTGGTCGTCCTCGGGTCTGCAGCAAGAATGTCTCACGACACGTCGTCTAGATTCTTGATTTTTTTCGCGTCTTCCTCGGATCCTAGAAGAGAGCGCGGATGATTTACGTTTTTTCAAACCAGACTTTAGGGCGTTATTTGCTTTAATAACAGTTACCGCTTGGCGTACCGTTAGAGAATCCTTGGGGCCTAATAGAATACCATCTTTATTGGTTG